AAATATAGGAAGTGCCTCGACAGGAAGAAAAATTACGGGTTCGAGAGGGGAGGACAAAAGATGGGGGAGATTGTTGGGGAAGAAAGAAAAAAAGACCGAGCAAACAAAAAATAACCACAAAACTTACGTTCCTCGCAAAGAGGGCCTTCCCGCGTGCCCCAGTTGAAACCTTGTGTGATGGAATCCCTGACATTCCCAAGTAGCTTCTTGTCCACTTGCGACGGTAGCGTGTCGTCTTGTAGAATATTGGGACCCATCTCGTCAGGGCCGAAAGCCCAGATACTTCTAGCTGCGAGCTTGTCCCAATCGTATTTGTCTTCAAAGAACCTCGCTACTTTGCGGATTGGATCTTTGATACTGACTCTGCCACTCTCAATGTCTTCGGCAATCCCATCATCCAAGGGCTCCGCAATCATGGTAATCTTATTCTTCTTATTTGGCGTGATAGAATAGCACATGATAGCCGAAGTCTCAACGACAGTTTCGCAGAAACGGGTGACAGGGTCGGACACCTTGATCTCCATCTCCGAATAAAGTCTTCGAAGATCGTGGAGCACACAATCCATGTAAAGTTCTCCGGTTCCCAAGACCACATGCTCACCGGACTCTTCTACTTTCGTTGAGATGAGAGGGTAGCTTTTATTAATCTTCCGCAGCCCGTCAAGCATTTTGGGAAGTTCTGATGGGTTAACCGGCTCAACAGCAACCTTGAAGACAGACTCCGTCATGTGTCGAATAGGTCTGAAGATGTATGCTTCCTCGTCATCTTCCAGCCTCAAGGGGACAATTGTGGCAGTCTTGACGATGGAATTGTCCACACCACCTAACAGAACGAAGTTTCCCGCAGGAACACCACTGGTTGGGATGCTATAGCAGGTTTCTGCAATCCATGTATCCGATATAGTCGCTGTGACCATGTCTTCCTCATCCTCAGGTGTATAGCCCTCGCCCAACACTCTGACCGGTTGACCAGGGCGCGCCGTCCCGCTCATGACTCTTCCAAACGCATGGAACTTGGTAGCATCCGTGCTGGTAAAGAGCTTTGTGACATGGACGACAAGCGGCCCGTCCGGGTCACAGGCTGCCATGGCGGCTGCAACTCTCGTATCAAGGGGGCCGGTGTAGTACCTGTCGAGTGTTCTTTGGGCTCCTTCTACTGGGGAGGGAATATGCTGTACGATCATGTCCACAAAGCCAGTGGCAGGACCAAAAAACTCATGGCAAACCATGTTGAGTAGCACCCTTGCATCCGACTTGAGTTGCGACGGCTTCAAGTTGATACCCACACCTGCAAGCGTTTCTTTCAGGTCATCTGGGCTTTCACTTATAGTGTGAGAGTAGAGTTTATAAATAGGCTCCAGGACGAATTGAACGAATGTCCGTTTGGAATTCTCTTCCACTCCTTTTCGAGTGAACTTTCGACTTCCTGGGTTGAAGAAAATATCCCCCCAAAGACGTAAGGCAAAGTCAGACGTTTCGACTTGGGGATAAGTTTCGGCATACATTTTGGCAAAAGATTGTAGGGTAAAACACCACTCCATAGAGGCACAAGCAAAGGCAACATTACCCTTTTCAGGGCTCAGCCGATACCTTTCCCCTTGCCCGGGCAGAATCCTCTCGATAATAGTGTTTACCTCTTCGACCACGTGCTTTAACTTGAAGTAAGCATCATTCGGCGGAATCTTCAACTCCAAAATCAGTCGGTCCATCTTGTTCACGACCATCGTTATGGGAAGACCTTCCAACACGGCGTGCTTAATGATCTGTTCCGTGTTCGCTTGCACGCCTTCGACGACATCCACGACCAGCACTATTCCGTCGACGAGCCGAGACGATGTGGCCACCTCGTCCACGAAATTCACATGGCCGGGAGTGTCAATGATATTGAAAAGATGAGATTTTCCTTTGGTGTTTTGGAGTACTAAAGTCATAGGTGCCGACTTTATAGAGACACCCCGCTCTCGCTCTAAGAAGTGAATATCGGTATAGCGGAGCTGTTCCTCCTTCCGCTTGCCTACTCGCTTCTCCAGACGCTCTGTCAAATCATGTGTCTGCGTCACAAGCATGTCCATAAACGCTGTTTTCCCATGGTGGAGATGGCCAACAAGCGCGATGTTCCTTATTTGACTAGGAAAACTGAGCAAGTCCGTCATAAATTCGCGCGAGAAATGAACGGGTGGCAGCTCGGCCTCCTCGATCGAAAACTTCTTCTGCTGAACGGGAGCGATTATGGGTTGCGAAAGTGGCTGCGAGTCCTCCTCTTGGACCAAGGTCTCAACATCGTCACCGTAGACTTGCTTTGCACTAGGATAATATTGTTTGTCTTCATGTAGGACGACCGCATTCGAAGGGCCTTCTGCATACGAAGTCAGAACGAGTGTGAGGTAGTAATGTTTCGAAAGATATGAAATACCGTCAACCTCCATCAATTGATCTGCATTCTGGTTTTCATCTTCTTCCTCTCCGAATGCTTCGTCGAAAGCAAATGCCTGCGGCTTGAGCCCTTCATCTTGGTTTTCCTCGTCAGAGTCCGCAGGCTCTCCAACATAATTGCCGAACCTAGAGCCAGATTAGTTAAGTTCTATTTGTATGAAACTTTATTTCCATATAGCATACTCATCATAAAGATCCTCCATTGCGCGAATAAATTCTGAATCTGGACAGACCTGGCTCCAGACGTTGGAGCGGATGCCTTCTTTGCTCAAACCAAAAAAGGCTGTCTCAACTTCGGAAGGTCCAAATTGGGTACTCGCCGAGTGGCCCGGGCTTGGCCAACCCTTTCTGAGTTACCACACGCGAATGTCCGCCCCCCGCTTTGCTCTAAAAGGGAGGTTGACCTCTGTGCTTATATTTTCCTACAACCCCCACCCTGGATTCGCCCGATTCTTCATCGGCATCGGTTGGAGACATTCTCTATAAATTGGTCTAGATTTCAGAAAAAAGACCTCAAGGCTGACGCCCCATTGTTATTGTCGCGGTGCCCTCTTCAAGGCTTGGATCAAACTCTTTTGATACTTAGAAAGTCGGAACACAACAAATGACTACTATGTCTTCGCTTCCAGCTGTCTATATTGTTTCTTCCGCCCGAACACCGGTGGGATCTTTCTTGGGGTAGGACTTCATAATTCGTGGTTTGTTTCACTTGAAGAATGAGGTTGACCGTTGTCTCATCTGCATAGTTCGCTCTCAAGCTTGACTGCCCCGCAGCTTGGTTCCCATGCCATCAAGGGTATGTTATAAGGTCATAGCGCGTTTTCTAAAAAAGTTCTCCTAATGGGTTCAATCTTTCTAATGGTAGGAAACAGCTGCTCTTGCCAAAGTTGACGGACTTAAGCCTTCGGACGTGCAGGAGGTCTTCTTCGGTAATGTCATTTCTGCAAAGTGAGCTGGGCCTTGTGAGAGCGTTCTGAATCTATCAAAAGCGGGTACTGATGACATTTTGTAGTGTCGGACAGAATCCTGCTAGACAATGTGCGCTTGGTGCTGGGCTTGAAGAGTCGACCGTTTGTACCACCGTCAACAAGGTTTGCGCGTCCGGGTTGAAGGCGATCATACTCGGTGCCCAGACTATCATGACCGGAAATGCTGACGTCGTTGTGGCTGGCGGTACGGAATCGATGTCGAACGCACCGCACTATCTCCCAAATCTGCGTACTGGTGCTAAATACGGCCATCAAAGTCTGGTGGATGGCATCATGAAGGATGGCTTGACTGACGCGGGCAAGCAGGAACTCATGGGATTACAAGCGGAGGAGTGCGCCCAAGATCATGGTTTTAGCAGGGAACAACAGGATGATTATGCTATCCGCACCTATGAAAAAGCTCAGGCGGCCCAGAAGGCTGGGCTTTTCGACGAAGAGATTGCCCCTATCCAGCTTCCTGGATTTAGGGGAAAACCAGGTGTGACTGTGACGCAAGATGAAGAACCGAAGAATGTGAGCATCTCCATCCGACGCGTTGTGTTCATGTCAGACTGATCATGGAGTCCTTAGCTCAACCCGGAGAAACTTCGAGCCATCAAGCCTGCGTTTATACCTGGTTCTGGGACAGTGACGGCGCCTAACTCTTCTCCTCTCAACGACGGCGCTGCTGCTGTTGTCCTTGTTTCAGAGGCTAAGTTGAAGGAGCTCAATTTGAAGCCGGTTGCGAAGATCCTCGGATGGGGAGACGCTGCTCAGCAACCCAGCAAATTCACGACTGCTCCAGCTCTTGCAATTCCGAAAGCGCTCAAACACGCAGGTGTGAGCCAGGATGCCATTGATGCTTTTGAGATCAATGAGGCTTTCAGCGTTGTTGCTCTCGCCAATATGAAGTTACTTGGCATTCCTGAGGAAAAGGTTAACCTTCATGGTGGAGCCGTCGCTATCGGTCACCCTATCGGCGCTAGTGGTGCGCGTATTACAACCACATTGCTCGGTGTTTTGAAGGCCAAGAAAGGAAAATTTGGCTGTGCTGGCATCTGTAACGGCGGCGGTGGAGCTAGTGCTCTGGTGGTCGAGCTACTTTAGATGGATTTTTGTCCTTGTCCATATGTGTCGACTGAATATATCATAGCGTGCACATGATCTGTGGTCCTAGGACTGGTTGCGTGAAAGTGTCGATATCCCCTAGCTCATGAATGATCAACTTTGGTCACTACCAATATCTGAGCTTAGAGTGATGTAGTTCACCCCATCTTTGTGTGAAGTGTGATCCTTTTATGTTAATCGATAGTGTCAAGGCAGGCATACTTTACCCAATATGAGCTCCTTTTGACGGAAAGGAAAGTAGCATGATGGAGATTTTACACTATTCACACGAAGCCCTCGGTTCTGACGCCTGCACCTATGTTTAGAGAGCGTTCGACCCAAGCCTCCGACATTTACAATAAAGCTACAGACAGTTATACGAAAATGTAAAACCAAGTCTGCGTAACGTATCGCACATGACGGCTAGCAGCTGTAAGCAGTCTATATCAATCAATATCTACAAAAAGATGCAAGACAGATTCTGACTAAGATCTAGGCAAAGGCGCCAACGAATGCCATCAGCAGAGCCCCGCTCGCGACGGATATACAGGCCTCAATACGCCGCCGACCCCTGAGTGTCGCGTAGCTAGACTCACTTAGAAAGTCCTCCGCTAAGAGTTCCACAAGTCCAGCAAAAAGTAATAACCCGCTGCTGATTGCATTGGTGATGCCAACCATGAGCAGGCCCGTGGTGCTTGCAGGGTCGTAGAGATTATGCAAAACTAGGCCGATAGCTTGTCCAACGGGTGTTGTAGTTCCGTAGGCAAGCGACATAAGCCAGGGCTTCGGCGACGACGGCGAAAAAAGGTCTGGTATCAAGGATGCAATACGCGATCCAAGGGCGAAACCTTCGAAAGTTTGGTGAAAGCAGATAGCCACAAGAAGGACAATAAAAGACGTCCCAGTGGCGACACTGAGGGCCATGCCGATAAAGATACTGTGGAAGAGGATACCAGCCTCGAGGAGAAGACATTGCAGCAACTGACGCTGCGGGCTTTGCATTGGTAATCCAGGACTCGGTTTTGGATGCAAATCACGTCGGTGGGACTGCAGGTGGCGAGGATGCGAGTCAGAGACCTGAGAATCACTGTGATTGTCCAGAGAATCGATGTCTCCAAATTCAGTGTCGCCGGTTTCACTGTAAGGGTCCATTTTCTTAGACCGTCCTTGTTCGACACCACCTGTTGACATCGGGGACAATGAACTGCAGTGCTCCTGCGCTCCATCCGCGTAACTATTCGCTTGAATGAGATTAAGGCGTAGGTTCTCTGTCGAGTGATGACGGCCCAGCCCCAGATAATTTGCGTCATCACGAACAGACTCGCTAGACCCCCGCCCAACACTGCCAATTAGATGATCATACTCGCTCCCATGAACATGACCAGCACCTTTCGTAGCGAAGAACATTTCTACGACGACAACCAGGAAAACCGATATCATGGCTACAAATCCAGCCATTGCACGATAGGTCTCCGACCAAAAACGAGGAAGGCAAGGATCCGTAAGAGAGACAAATGCCGTGGGTAACAAGTGAACGAAAGCTGTGGCAATCAAAACCCCCGTTCCAAAATGCCTGGAGATAAAAAGAAAGTGGCGCGGTATCGGTAGCCGTGGAAATCGACGTGCGAGAACTGGAAATGAACATGCTAATATATGATCAGTATATTTGAGATAATATCAAACCTTTCCAGATGTAAACAATACCTAATGTGCTCAAAACCAGAATAAGGAACAATGCCAGCACATGTATTTGGGTGTTGTAAGCGCCTTTCTCCTTCGAACCACAAGCTACTCGGTCGCTGGTCGATCCCCGAATTTCGCTCCTCCGAATAAGCTCTGCCCGGAGAAGGGAATCAGGTAAGTCTGAGACTAGAGGGATACTTCGATTGAGGGCTGCAACAGAGATGGAGTATTAGTCGATATAATCATTACCACACCCAAGTTGCAGCGACCAGAGGATCGGTATCAATGCAAATGAGCTTTTTTTAAGTGATATGAGTATGAACTATGTTAGTTAGAAAATACTTACCAGAAGCTGCCATCTCTGACTGTAGCCATTGCGTAAGCTGGCCCATCTTGATTCAAGCCTTTCTTAGGATTTGATCAATGCCATGACCCGAACAGAGTGAGGTTGACACAGTATTTGGACAGCAGGCCTCTGTATTTTGATTGCCAAGCTTGAGTGGTAACACTAGAGAGCAGGAGAGTGTGCTAAGAAACAGGGACCATTGTCAAACCAATAAATAAGACAGTAGTTGCGAGCCAGAAATGAAGATCGAAGTTTACCTGGCTTTGTATGGCGTAAATAGGTAGCAATTATGCGGCTCGGAAGAGAGGTAGTGAGAGGTGAAAGGATAATCCGGGCGTGGATGCTTGTTATCTTATCAATCATTAGATCTTCCAGTCTGCTGCAAACTCACGTATCATTCAATGCTCCAGGTTAACATTGGTTTTGTTTCTTCTCTTTGGGGTTGAGAAGGCCATTCATTCGATGGTGCTTCTGTCTGTCTGCGTTTAGAGCTACGTTGCTAAACAATATTGCAAGCTGTAGATCATACCTCAACAACAATAATTGCTTTCACCCAAGCTTTTTTTCTATTCAAGTATCCCCATTAAGGGCAATTCGTTAGGTGGGTAGTGTTTAGGATCACGAATATAGTAACGATCAGGTTATCGATTTCTCAATTTAGTCCAACCACTACTTCCCCGTGGGCGGCTGGTGCTATCTAATTCATTAGGGACACCACTAGCTGATGCCATATGACTGACATAATTCTTGTCCGGCATTACGTCGTCTCCAGGCTGCGACCTCGACCCTTGGACAGGCGCTCTCGTCGAGGTCTGTTCACTATCATTCCACTCTTTCTCCTCGAGAACTTCCCATTCCGCGCTCGCCATCTCTCCCAGGAGCATTGATTTCAATTTGTCGACAACCTTGAGCGGCATCTGCAGTCTCCACGTCCTAACGAACTCCGTACCTTCCGAAGCACCCAGGAATGAATGCACAGTGCCATGTGAGTAATGCCCCATCATGGGGAACGATATGGTCCTTTGGATAGAAGTTCTAGGAGGGTCTCTTAAGAGCTTTATAGGTTGCGTTTCTCGACCAGCAAATGCTCTCATCAGAGTTGCCGCTTCCAGCGGAGGAGCAACAAGTAGCTGCCACATGTTCTTCCCAATATCGCAGATCTCTTCCCAAGAGTCCGACGCGATATTGAGTCCTTGCGTACGACATAGCCAGGAAACGTTCCAGGCCAACAATGTAACTCCTTCTAGGAAAAGGACGTATGACCCTGGGTCTTCCCTAGCGAGCTTTGGTAAACTTCTATCGATAGTGAGAGGTCGAGGTTGGTAATGATTAGACTGAAAGCCTAATGGGTGTGTCGTAGATGAAGCGGGGTTATGCAGCTGCGTTGAGGTAGCTGTCAAGATCGACTCCCGTGAGGTATACGACCCAATAGGTGCATGAATCGTGGGAACGGGATGGTCTCTATGAGGAAGGGTAATCTCCGCCGGAAGCCTCAAAGATAAGTAATGTGACACGAGGACTAGAAGATGAGCAATATTAGAGAATGATGTTGATATTTGGACTGCAGTGGCGCCTATTTGGGCATTAATACTTCATGTTGGCATATCCAGGAGGAGGGCAGGTTGCGACTTCCCGTTCAGGTCTCGGAGATCAATGATAGGAACACCACCAACTACGTATGTCTCCTTCATTTCACCGCCATCCTGCTTTATCCACTGTCTTAGGCTGTATAGATTCGCAACCTCGCGGCAAAGAAAAATTCGAGCCTCAGCTGTCTTGCTGTGCAAGGAATGCCAGAGATGCTCCGTCCTTTTGATGGTATTCTGGACACCACATAGCAGAGCTATCTCGCGACTTTCCAGCTGAAACTTTGAAGACTCAGCATCTGAACGTCGTCGGGCTAAGGTCAACCTCCGCTGAGAAATGCCAAGTTGCCTGTCTTTAATCTCGGATTTCAGTTGCTGGATCTGAAGCGCAAGCTCTTTCCTCCTGATGGAAGACTCGGCTTTTGCATTTATAATTTGCAAGACATCTTGAGGACTGGGCACCTTGTTCGGCGACTGCGTTGAGCATTCTTCAGAGCGACGATGGGAGAGAGTAGATGTCTGATGCAGAAGCGCTTTCTCGAGCTGCCGTCCTAAGGCTTCCTTCTCCAGGAGAACCCTGGCATTATCGATACGTAGTGTGTATAGTTTGTTACAGGCACAGGTGGGACAATAAAAGCGTAGGCGCGAGTTTGAGACTCGAGAGCAAATAGGACAATTCATCTCAAATGTACTGTTTATTGTGCTATCGTACCGTCAGCAGATAGCTCACAATCTTGCGCCCTCCTGTTAGTCTATGAATCTCGGTCTGCCTGCTAGGCAACTCATAGACATCAAGAAAGTGTATGGAATCGAAAAATAATGGTTCATTGCTCCCAGCAGTCAAATCTTTCTTGTAGCAGGCTAAGTTGGAGGTGCGGTATGTCCTCGAACGTTGACGTCACATGATACTTCTACTACACTTTATGCCTCAGGCAGCCACGCACTCTGCTTCGCTATCTGGCAGAACTGGCGATTTCCACGAACTGCTCAATGCTGAAGCACGTTATTAGCGAGGCAGGAGTGACAGCATGGTAAAACGAGCTGTTCGAAATTTAGATCCTGCGAGCAAACAATCATCCATTCGCCTTTGACCTTTTATCTTTCCCTCTAGTTATACAACGTTTGAGAAGAAGTGCCGTGATAAGGCACTGCAGGTAAAGATGGATTCACTGGGTGGAACCCACGCCAAAGCTTCTATTGACTACGGCGATCATGGATCCAGACCGGATCAGCAGAAAAGCTTGAATGAGCATCATAATGTTCCACAAGTCAGACGGCAGTTGGTAGAAGACTTGTCACAATGCAACTGGACAAAACTTCAACAAATATACTCAGATATTATGAAACAACATGGGGATGCTGAGGAAGAGTTGCGGGCTCGATCTTTGAGGCTTCTTGAGGTACCTTGTACTTTTCTAAGCCATAACCCATCTCTCTGACATTGCTGGTCTAGATTTTTACGGCCTGGTCACAGTCTGCTGTTCTTCGTGATGAAAGCAGAGCGCTGAAAAGGTCTCGGCCTGTACCCTTACACAAGCCGACAGTTCAGCTGACTTATGTCTAGATTCAAAACCCAGTCGCAGCATGTGCAGACATCCGAAGAGGATTTAGAAAATAGGAGAAAACATTGTGCGAGAGTACAACAATTGCCGCCAGCCAAGCCGTGCTAACATATTCATGCAGATGCCGACGTTGTGAAGGCTTTCGAAAGTGCTCTCGCTCTCCTGAATAATGCCCCAAAGTCTTAGGTATATCAAGTTGAAGGATACTTCCAGAGAGGCTCCCTTGAAATTCAGACCTGCCCACTTGAAAGTTACCATACGGAGGCTCGACCACGGCATCTCGCAAACTCCGACTCTCACGAAGGGGAGCATGATGAGGGAACCCGAGATGTAACACTATAAACACGTGATACAAGACTATAATCCCTTGGCGGAAATCACCATATCCGCTGTCTTTCCCTTTTTATCACCTCTTGAATCAAGAAAACATTTTCAGAATAATCGTTCATTAATCGAAGTAGCGGGCTCTCTGGAAGCGTTGGGACGTCCCCTCATGTAGGATTGCCACTTCTTCCGGTGCTTGCTAACAGACTTTCTTCCTCGGCTTCTTCGACGTCCTCATCCAGCTGGCGTTCGTCGAGTCTCGGCGAGCGGACGAGAGATGCCACAAGGATGACTAAGTAGATACCTATTTTTGCACAATCGTTAGCTTCCAAGTTTGCAGCATAAGAAACAAAGTTCCTTGTGACAGGTCTGCCAAATACCAAGGAAAAGAAAGTGTGCCCAAAACAGCAAGGCACCAAAAAGTGGAAAATTCAGCGCCACCCGATTTAAAATGGTGCTTGCGACGCTGGGCGTGCAGGTCTTATCTGCAGCTGTGCTATCTGCCTTCTCTGAACATGGCTTGACCAAATGCCTGTGGTTTGAGCAATCCGGCTGTTCTTCTGAAGACCTCGGGGCTAAGTCGCAGAAAGTTTGCGGTCCAAATGTTGCGTACTGGGGTGCAAGCATCATAACAATCGAGTAATTCAAGCCCAGGGTTATCAGCGTCAGCATGGCTGTCGCCAGCAACATGGCCTGGGGCGACGTGTGACCTTTCCTAATTTGGAAAATTCGTATCCAAAGAAATCGAATGCCCACTGCGACAACACCGACGACCGAGCCCCAAAAGAATAAGAAGACAATAAGCGCAAAAATGATATAGTCGGTTGGAAAAGCCCTGGAAGACTGAATAAGAAGCCAACTCATAGGGTTGAAGTTGGTACGGCTGAGTACATAACCACAGTGATGCTTGCAAGACGAATTTATCAATTTATCAATAACGGTCATGAGCAATGAAATCCACGTCGAAAACCCAACGAGAAATAGACAGAAGCCGCCCAGAAGCCTGAATGGACGGAGGATAGTCTTCAGTTTGGAGTAAACGGTGACTGGCCAGCTTTGGTCTTCTTCTTGGCGTCCTTCGATCAAGCGCTGCCGGCGGATGAGAGTCCTCTCTTCCCGCACCAAAGTGTCCAATTCTCTTCTGTCTTTTGGAGATAGAAGCGCCGAATTACCCCCGCAGCGACCTTCCAATTGGCGTTGCCGTTCACGATTGAAATCCAGTTGCATGGCTGTAGAACCTACCAATGTTTGGTTTGCGAAAGAATAGGGTTTTCTGAGAAGAAGCGCCGGAAGCAATGCTAGCCCTGAAGGTGTATAGAAGACATATAGACAAGAGCCAATGGTTGTTACGAACCCAAGGAGAAATGTAAAAGCATGTTCACCTCCTGTAGGACATCATGAGCGTTTTGAGGAGAAAGTCGTCATCTGAAAAGGAATCAAACTCACGGTTCTCGATCAAAAATCTTCGCCAATACCCCAGATCGTGGCCAGGTTGACTCTCCAACATAGGAGCGAAGAAGCCGACAAGAACCAACGCAATGACTACTGCAATGAAAGCCAGAGTGTATTTGGTAGCAGCCCAAAACCGCTTGCAGGCTGTCTGATCGCCCGTCTCGACGGCTACTTCATCATAATCCTCGTGCCAGAAGTAGGCAAAAGGGATTCCAACAAGGCAGAGCAGAGCATCCAGGGAGTATAGCGAGTAATAGACAACTGTTAAGGAGTAGGTAATTTTGTCGACCTCTTCTTGGGTGGCCCACTCTTTTCGCTGACCCAGAGCGGATGATGTCGTTGAGGAAACCAAAGCGACATCAACTGGTAGTAACATTACTGTCGCAAGAAGAGCGGCAATGGAAAAGACGCACATAAAGGTCACAAATGAGGATCGATCCCGAGGTGTCTGATATACATGTATAAAGACCGAGGCAACAACAATCAAAACAGTTATCACTATTAGATACGCAAACCAAATCAGGGAGATCCATGGGAGAGGCATTGTGGCATATTTGCAAAGCTTTCAAGAAATCCAACTAAGCAAAAACTAAAGGGTGACGATGCTGCCATATATGTTAGCTTTGGCGAAATAGATAGTCCACAGGCTTTGCGGAGCAGGACACACTACTATATTTCAGGGGTTCTCTGATCGGCACTTGTGATAAAGGTGGTAACGACAATGAGAACAATGAGCGATCATGGTGTGCTGGGTGCACAAGTTACAACTCTGCAGGGGTATGGATATTATCAATTACATCATCAACATAACAAGCCCGATGGATCACGTGACAGATCACGCAGGATTGGCAAAATACTCAAAACACAGCAGACTTAGTTGTATAGATCATCAGCCTATGGCCACCCTTCATTCATTCTCTAAATCCCAATTCTTGCCCTTGACTTTGCAATGTATAGTCTTCTTGGTTATTCCTGGACTGTTTTATGTTGATAAAGGTTTCTAGCAGGGAAAACCATAGCAATCGGCCACACAAAAAATGCAGTGCTATACAGAATTGTTACCCCCTTCCGGGGTAACTCATGCCCTGGCCATTCCATTTATCTCAGCAACAGCGGAGAATCTGGTCGTGGTGAAGACCTCTGTTCTCCAGGTCTTCTCTTTACTCAACGTTCAACATCACCCGAGAGGTGGAACCATTGAGGGTAAGTCTGCGCGGCCAGACCAGGTAGAGACAACGAAGCTCGTCCTGGAGCGAGAATATCCGCTTTCTGGAACAGTAGTCGACATCTGTCGAGTCAAAATTCTGAATCCTAAGAGCGGTGGTGAAGCTCTTTTACTTGCTTTCCGCAATGCCAAACTTAGCTTGGTGGAATGGGACCCAGAACGTCATGGGATCTCAACCATTTCAATCCATTACTATGAGAGGGATGATCTAACCCGTAGTCCATGGGTACCCGATCTGAGCAGTTGTGGCAGTATCCTGAGTGTGGATCCAAGCAGTAGATGCGCAGTCTTCAACTTTGGGATTCGGAATCTTGCAATTTTACCCTTTCATCAACCAGGAGATGACCTAGCCATGGACGAGTACGAATTCGATCTTCGTCAAGACGATCTCAATCAAGTATCGGATCACGTTGGCAATGATGTGAAGAGCAAAGACCGCACCGTGTATCAGACCCCATATGCCTCGTCCTTTGTGCTTCCCTTAACTGCATTGGATCCGTCTATACTTCACCCTGTCAGTCTTGCGTTCCTATATGAATATAGGGAGCCGACGTTCGGCATCCTCTACTCGCAGATTGCTACTTCACATGCTTTGCTCCCCGAAAGAAAAGATTCTGTCTTTTACACTGTGTTTACACTAGATTTGGAACAGCGAGCTTCCACGACTTTACTTTCGGTACCAAAATTGCCTAGCGACTTGTTCAAAGTGGTTGCCCTTCCACCACCAGTTGGAGGCGCGTTACTTATCGGGTCCAATGAATTAGTGCACGTCGATCAGGCAGGCAAAACCAATGCGGTTGGGGTTAATGAGTTCGCCAGACAAGTCTCGGCATTCTCCATGGTTGATCAGTCAGACCTCGCACTCCGACTGGAAGGATGCGTTGTGGAGCATCTTTCTGACAGCAGCGGGGATCTGGTTCTTGTTCTTTCGTCGGGGAATATGGTGCTTGTCCATTTCCAACTGGACGGAAGGTCAGTGTCAGGCATCTCACTCCGCCCTCTACCTGCACAGGCTGGGGGGGCTATTATGAAAGCTGGTGCATCATCCTCAGCTTTTCTTGGAAGCGACAGAGTTTTTTTTGGCAGCGAGGATGCAGATTCTGTCCTTCTCAGCTGGTCCTCCATGTCCTCAAATTCAAAAAAGCCTCGGCCAAGAATGAGCAATGTGGCAGAAGATCGTGAAGAAGCCTCAGACGATAGTCAAAGTGAAGAGGATGTCTATGAAGACGACCTCTATACTGCAGAGCCTGAAACGCCAGCTCTTGGTCGTCGTCCATCCGCAGAGATGTCCGGAGTCGAGGTGTATAAATTTCAGGTACTCGACAGACTGCCTAATATCGGCCCCTTGAGAGATATAACGCTAGGAAAGCCTGCTTCGACTGTCGAAAACACAAGTCGTCTCATTGAGAATGCTTGCTCCGAGCTTGAATTAGTAGCTGCTCAAGGCTCTGGCAGAAATGGTGGGTTGGTACTGATGAAGCGCGAAATCGAACCGGATGTCACAGCTTCTTTTGACGCTCAATCTGTTCAAGGGGTTTGGACAGCAGTTGTAGCTCTTGGAAGCGGTGCACCATTGGTCCCTGATGAGCAGCAAATCAATCAAGAATACCGCCAATATGTTATACTGTCGAAGCCTGAAGCTCCCGACAAGGAACAGTCACAAGTTTTCATTGCGGGGACACAAGACTTGAAACCTTTCAAAGCTCCTGAGTTTAATCCGAACAACGATGTGACCATAGAGATTGGGACGCTGTCGTGCAAAAGGCGAGTTGTTCAGGTCCTGAGGAACGAGGTCCGAAGTTACGATATTGGTGAGGCTTTAGCCCTGAAGAGTAAGGAGTATATAAGGAAACTAACAATGACAGACTTGGACCTGGCGCAAATCTATCCGGTCTGGGACGAAGACACCAGCGATGAGCGTATGGCTGTTAGCGCCAGCCTGGCTGACCCATACATAGCAATCCTCCGAGATGATTCAACGTTGATGCTTCTTCAAGCAGATGATAGTGGAGACCTTGATGAGGTGGAATTGAACGACTCTGCGAGGGCGGGCAAATGGCTCTCTTGTTGCTTATATTGGGACAAAGCTGAGATTTTCTCGTCTACGCGGCCTACTTCGAAGCAGGATACTCATTGCGAATTGTTCCTCTTCCTACTTAGCATAGATTGCAGACTTTACGTAAGT